TTTTTTCGCAATATTTTAAAAATTAGTTAGGGGGGTATCCGGGGTCTCTCATATGTGAGATGCAAATCCAGCATCCCGTATGAATTTAAGAATTGATATATATATATATACGTACAGTTTCCGCTCAACATCCTGGGAATGGCTCGTAAGGCCTTAATATATTTCTTGTTATTAATTTCAACGAGCCTTAAGTCATAATTGTTGAAAATTCACAAATTCTTTATATTTGTCTATAACTTATATTTGTATATTTTTTAAATAAAACTATGCAATTTTGTTTATGCGTATTTTAGTGACACACTGTGGCTCGTAGAGATAATACTACGTCTCTGAAGTGTAAAGATTTCGATTTTCTTCGCAAGACAAGCGCTTATATTTGTGTGTAAATATACGTTCGAGTTACCTATAGCAACAATGTAATGTGTTTTGCGCAGCGGTTTGATACTTGACGTTATAAACTGGTCCAACAGTATGAATAATAAAACGAGCAGGTAATCCATGACCCTGTGTAATTCTTACTTCGCCGGTTCTGCATTCTGCAACGCGAATATATAGTTTGATGAAATTGAAATTATATTCAAACGACGATTGTCGCGAGACAGTTGCACAAATATAAATATATATATGTACTACGCTCATATTGCAGAGTATATCATCCATATTGATGCGAACCTTTTATTTCGTTATATATTTCCATTTTAAGCGCAGAACCAGCTCGGCTAAATATTCTTTGGCACATAGGACTGTTATCATCCATCGTCTCGTTGGTAGGATTTACTACCGCGTCTACTTGCAATATCGAGATATCTCCAGCCCTGTGAAACAAAATTTTTACAATTTTAACACGTACACGTGAAATTTGAAGTGATGTCAAAACCGACGGTACTTTTACTCCATTACTTAATAACGTAATTAAACAAATGTCTTACATAAATGTCTTACCATAACGCGAGCTTGTTGTTAAGTGACGACTGACAAGGAAAGGGACTTATAGCGTGATGCGCCGTTTCTCGGACCGATTCGTAATCCGTGAACCGATGTTGAATTGGATAGTCGGCCCATCGTTTCAACGCAGCCGGCTCCACAATGTCCTCGGCGACACCCAAAGGTTCCATCAGCCTCATTCAGCTGGAAATTCACGTCGTACGCATAAAATGTGCACATTTGCGAAATAAAGAAATTCGTTCGTGCGAACGGAATGTTCAAAAGAAGAGAACGAGGAAACATGTGGAAATCAAATATGTTGTTTTATTTATATAAAAAAAATCTGCAAGAATAACAGAAAGAAAATTCTGAGCTCTCGATTCAAATATTGAATATCGCGCATATTTTCTTGTTTTGAAAAATAATTGCGTTCGTGTGTTTATTGATTGACAAGCTGTATCTACTCTCTAATATTTAATGGAAGGTAGCGGCAGCATATTCCTTTGTTTCCCTATCAGCTGTTTCAATCCCTAACCTAACCTAACCTAACCTCATTTCTGTCTAACGTGCGTCATACGCAGCGCGGTTGTTGACCCGAAAAGGGAGTTCGTGTAGTACATGATGCAATACGCTCAACTTAACTGGCAATACACGCAATTTTGCCAGCGTGAAATTATTGCGAGAAACGTATTTTACAAAAAAATAAATAAATAAATAAAACACTCTCATCTTTAAAATATATATTTTATTATATATATATTATATATATTAGGTCTACCGGGGAAAGTTCTGTCCGTTTTTGGAATAAAACAAAATACAAATTTTTCCAAAAATTTAAGACCATGTTGGATTTATATATAATATAATATTATATATAATAAATATATATAATATTATATTATTTTTTATTATATATTTTATATATATTTTATTTTTATATATATTTTATTTTATTTTTTTTTGTATAATATTCTATTCTACAAAAATATCTGATAAAAATGTTTATTTAATTTTTCTAAGTTTAAGCGTGTAACGTTTTTTTTCGAAAGTTTTATTTATCGCTAAAAAAAATATTCATATTGCCACGTGATGTAATAGGATTTACTAATATCGATTGCATATTCTTCCGTGCTCTTTTATTTTTTGTCTTCTTTGTTTAACCTTAATGATGTTTCGGTTTTTATATTACATCGCTTGGTAGCGATCGAACTGTTTGAAAGTATGCGTCTGTGTATCGTATACGACACACAACACAGAATATACGCGCTGTCGGTAATGGCAAGGAGCCGAGAGACTGGCGCCGTCTGGCTTCGAGCGGATCTTACGTCCTGACAAACCCATTAAAAGCACAGGATCGTCGACCTTACGTAACAGCCGAACGCATTCACATTTGTGTGAGAATAATTTGCACACTCGCGCGTTGAAAAAATGTCGACAAAACTTGATATCCAAAAAGTTGTACAGTTTGTAGTTTTTTTTTTCTTGCGATTTGTTCGAAGCAATTTTACGATTTCATTTGAATTAATCTTTGGTTTGGTCGGCACTTCTTTCAAGAATCCGTAATGATCAATTAAAGTATCAACTTTTGAATTAAAAAAAAAAAAAAAAGTGATCGATCGATTTTTTCGCGGATTAAAAATAAGTTCGAATATAAGTAAAGCGCGTAAGTGTCGAGAGTATAAACGGGCTAATTTGATAAGATAACTTTTATTATTTACGTAATACACACTTGACAAATGTTCGAGTTTCATAAACAGCTTCGCACACACACTTGCCCCGAACGAGCAATCGATACTGCGCATTTGCGCGCGAATCAATTGCTCGTGTTTATTCAGACGAGATACGACTAAAAACACTCGGCAACTATTGCGGGGATTCGCGTATCGTCATTTTGATATATATATATATGTATATATTCGATATGTCTTCGAACCGGCGAGATATTGTTATTTCGAAGATAGAGCGCGTTGTGCGCTCCGACGCGTGAAACAACGCGATTTCGGAACCCTGTGACAACCCGAGTTATTAATTTTCGCTCGATCTGGCTTCGTCAACTATTCGCGAATCGGTTTCGCTATTATCGATGATTCTTCGCGACGTTGCTATAAATAGCATCGGCGTTATCTCATTATTACTTGGAAGGTAACGCGATCGGAGAGTAACGTAGCGGAGAGTTACACCGGCGGCGATGTATGGCATCGCGATTATACGACGCACAAAGTTACGGAAGCGAGTAATAAACGGGAAGAGATATCCGTTTAACGACCTTATCGTCTAATAACTTTCCCGGAGAGAGAGAGAAAGAGAGAGAGAGAAAGAGAGAGAGAGAGAGAGAGGCCGTCGCGTGATAAAGGGTCAAAGTCGCTCGACATGCGAGAAAATAGAGATAACATCGCGTCCACAAGAAAACGCACACGAAATGCGTTTGCGAGCGAGCTGCACAGCCGCAAAACTGAATCGTCACTTAAGGACGTTCTCCGAATTATTGATCTTCCTAGGATTTTCTTTAAATTTGCGATATACATAGTTTACGATCTTATTTACACGTAGCCTTTTTGGATAATAGGGGTGGCAATGTTAAATTCCAAAATATGGAAGATTTAAGTTTCAATTTTTAACATGGATTTCCTATGCCGAGCCTTTGTGAAGTGGGGTTTTTTAAAGTTACTGACGACAATTTTTGTAGGATTTTTTTTTAAAAACAAGTATGCGGTAGCGGAGAGTGTCTTAATTAAAATACGATTTTGAATAATACGGCGAGCAACCCTTGTTTTCAAACTGTAGCTTTTTTTTGTTTTTTTTGGGAGGGGTTTTTTTTTGTTTTGCTGGATTTATGTGCGCTGTGTACCGCAGCTATTTTTGAACTTCTGCGCGGAGTAAGCGAGTCTTAGCAGTGCTGAATAGCTCAACTTAACTTTGTTACAGCAGCACAAACTTACTCGTGAGAAGAGATATTTTAGGTTGCTAACCACTGTATTTAGGTTGCTAACCACTGTAGTCGGAGAACGTCCTTAAAATGCTATAAGTAACGGCACGGGGCTTCGATCTCGCGATTGATACACAACCTCGGACAAATGCGCCGATGATGCGCCTGGCGACGAGAAGCCTTTCCGCGCCTTCGTTGTGTTACATATTCCGTTAGCATCAGGGGCTTCCAAACGAATCCTTTGTGCGCGTGCATAGTCGCTAGCGAAGTGAAAAGACTAGGAAAAAAAAAAGAATCAAATATAAATCGCTGGATATTGACGTAATCGATGGATGTTTTCACAAAGAGCGCTTTTTTTGCCGGAAAATCATAGAATTTTGTTGCAAAAACAAAAACAAAAAAAAAACGGACGCGCACACACGCGATCATTTTCACGTTTCGATTCGGCAGGAAAACAATAAAACCTTTTGTTGCGAATAAATATGCAAATGGCGAATATGAGGAAAACACTAATATATTATTAGGTCTACCGGAAAGTTCTGTCCGTTTTTGGAATAAAACAAAATACAAATTTTTTTCCAAATTTAAGACCATGTTGGAGCAAGATCCTTTTCTGACAACATCGGAGATCGCAGAAAAGATCGCTTAATTCAGCTCAGCAAACCATTTCGGACCATATTCGGAAGATAGGATTGAAAAATTTGGAAAAATTTGTATTTTGTTTTATTCCAAAAACAGACAGAACTTTCCGGTAGACCTAATATATTAGACAAAAGACAATTCTTGTTGGCTGTTCGTCATTGCAATATCAGAGACGAGAAAATGAAAAGTGATTTCTCATTTCCGACAAATATATTAGGTCTACCGGAAAGTTCTGTCTGTTTTTGGAATAAAACAAAATACAAATTTTTCTTACCGTCAATAAACTTTATTAAATAATATAATTGCCATTATTATTAATGATTTCTTGCCAGCGTGAGGGCAATTTGTATATCCCATTTTTGAAAAATTTGGAAAAATTTGTATTTTGTTTTATTCCAAAAACGGATAGAACTTTCTGGTAGACCTAATATATTAGGCAAAAGACAATTCTTGTTGGCTGTTCGTCGTTGCAACGTCAGAGACGAGAAAATGAAAAGTGATTTCTCATTTCCGACAAATATATTAGGTCTACCGGAAAGTTCTGTCCGTTTTTGAAATAAAACAAAATAAAAATTTTTCTTACTGTCAATAAACTTTATTAAATAATATAATTGCCATTATTATATATTAATGATTTCTTGCCAGAGTGAGGGCAATTTGTATATCCCATTTTTGAAAAATTTGGAAAAATTTGGAAAAATTTGTGTTTTGTTTTATTCCAAAAACGGACAGAACTTTCCGGTAGACCTAATATATTTGTGTCGGAAATGAGAAATCACTTTTCATTTTATCGTCTCTGACGTTGCAACGACGAACAGCCAACAGAATTTGTCTTTTGCTCAAATTCATGAGTGAAAATGACATCACGGTGTGCGATTCGTCGCATCGCTTGTTTGTGCCTCGCGCAAAACACAATAACACATTTGTTGTATTCCACTTCTTCTTCGACTTCGAAATTACATTCTAGAATGTATATCTGTGGCCGTGAACGACGAAGAAGCTTTATCATATCGCACGATGACTCAAACCGGATGACGCAAAATAAATATTCACATTTCTTTCGTCGTTTCTTCATCATCTCGAATGGGCGTACGCGCGCGAGAAAACAGCCAGTCGATGTTTATGCGGATCGATGATAATCAATTATTAGGAGAAGTATCGACTTTCCACTCCGTCTTATATAGCGGACAACGGAGTGGAGGAGCGAGGGTGAGAGTATGTCCGAAAAAACTCGAATTGTTTTCCCACTGGTAATTCTCCTTCTTCCGTTCCGATCTAATTTGACGTCTCGATCTTGGTCTCTCTCTCGATTGTTTCATTCATGCTTACAATATAGGAGGTGAAAGTTGAACGTTTTTTAAAATTCCCATCTTCATTTTGTGACATTTTATTATTCCTGGCTCGAAGCGACAACGTAAGAACTTACGACGTAGAATTGCATCGGACAATAACGTATTCAGTGACACATGACGTCATTTCCCCGCATGACAAATCGTTCCGAGGACCGGCTATTGACGAGAGTGCGCAATTACATCGACAAATCGTTAACGCATTGATCTCTTCTCGGAAATGCGAAAAATACAAATGTTTGCAATTGTCGATTGGTTTTTATCGCGCATATGTTTGTTGCAACGAATCATACTGTTGGAAAAGTGAAATAAAACAAATCTTTATAAAATAATAAATTTCGATCGGAAATTTCGCTACAACAAAAAATAAAATCATTCTGATTGAAGTTAATATTAATTTTACAATTACTTTTTTTTTTGTTAACCGTTTTTGTTGTTCGTAACAAGTTTGTTGAAAAGTAACGTGGTTATTTCAAACTTTTTCTTTGTTTTTAATCATCCCCTCGTTAAATGCCGCGTTGTCGGGTAACGGCGATTAGGGTCAATACATCAACAATATCCAACTAACTTCGCAGATATAGCGCTTTGAAAACTCGGATGTGGCGCGCGTAGGTGTGCGCTCGCGTTCCGCATCAACGCGCAATTAACGCTATCAAGGCTTCAAACATCAAACCGAACAGTTCGAGAACGTTTCTGCGTGTTTCTTGCGATAAAATGAAAGAGCGCCGCGGTGACTTGGCACAATGAACCAAGTGCCAAGTGGAAAACGTGCATTCGAGCAATGACCGTATTGCGCGCATAGGAATACGAGGAATATAGTCGGGACGACGACAATGATGATGTAATATATATACGGCGATAGACGATTGTCTATTTCCAAATGTTTGAAATGAGCATCCATAAGTGCTTTCCAAATACTCTAGGCCGACTTATATATCGTTGTGGCCGCGACGACGACGACGACCCGCGCCGTCGTGATTGCCCGAACGAACGTATGACCTAAATCGGAGGATTTCTATTAGAGGCGATCGGATATCGAATTTTAGTAGTACAGAGTAGGATAATACAAAGTGAACGTTAGCCGCTACGCGCGCTTGATCTAATCAACTGGCTCTCACGGTCCGTCTCACATCCTTTTTTTTTTTTTTTTTTTACGAATAACACAATTATCTGAAAAATAAACATTTTTTTTTTTTCAATATTAAATTGAGGATCTTCCTCGGGCTCATGAAGTCTATTAAACTTAATAAATGAATAAATAAGTCTAAAGAGCCGGATGTTGCAGGATGTTGTGCGGAAAATATGTCTTATATGTGTATATACATATATAAGTGAATTCACGTTTTCACACGTGTGATTTTTTCGAATTGAAATTTCAATTCTTAAATTCATATAGGATGCTAGTTTTGAATCTCATATATGATAGACCCCGAATACCCCCCCCCCCCCTAATTGAATTAAAATATTGCGAAAAAAACTCCTCATTTTTTTTTTCCCAAAAAGATCCGTCTCTGCGAGTGACAAACAAGTTTGGTGAATGTTGTGATGATAATTTAACAAAAAACGGAAAAACAAAAAACGGAAAAAATGGTTTCACCGCGAGATAACAATTGCGAGAGTGACAATTGATTCGTTTTTTGAAAACATTCAACTCTGTCATGAGAAATTTAAGCGATTTGAGACGAACGAATTTTACGTTTCCCGTTTCGTCCGACGAAAATATATGGACCGTTTATTTTGAAAGTGGTGTAAGTCCATTTTCTTTTGTTTCGAGAAACTTATAGGTTAACATATCTGTCAATTATGAATTGTGAATTACGTGATATCTCATTTTTTTTTCAAAAATGGACTTACACCACTTTCAAAATAAACGGTCCATATATTCCGGTGTGAAACAATGGATCTCTCTCTGGAAACGGCGGTTGAATCGGAATCTACGGAAACGCGCTTGAGAATCTATCGACGTTTAGACGCCAAATGTGCAAGGCCGAAAATGTATGACCTACATTATCGATATGGCGACCTCCATTGCGATAGATACGACGCGTAGCGCGGCGACACATCGATAGTTCGCGCGCGTGTTTAGAAATATATACAACATCTCCGAAAGAGAAAGAGAGAGAGAGAGAGAAACGGAGGGAAGAAGAGAGAAGGAAGAGAAAACGTTGCGCGAGATATAAATGTGAAATTTCACAAGCAATAATAAAAATGTGAAGATTTGAAAAAACCACGACCTTTAAGTAGTGACGTTTCATCGGTTCCATTAAAAAAAAAAAAAATATTTCCGTACGATATTACACAATTACGTCTCTGCGATTGTTCGATCGTCTCTTTTTTTCCAAATTTCAACCACACTGACCTCAGATCTCGCGATATCATCAGCAACAGCTGCGAAGCGCATCGGCGCGTGGGAATTTTCCAAATCCGAGCAAACAGCAGAGGTCTGTCTGTCGTTTTAAGTTTTATCTCAATTAGATTTCGAAATTCCGAGTGAGAAAATTTATGCGGGCAGAGATTGCTCGATATATATGTAATCTCGAGCTGTTGAGAGCTCGGGGGGAGTTGCGAGCAACAGAGAGTCGGGGGGGGGGGGAGAGGAATCTTTCGAATCTCTCTCGTTGTTACAAAAAAGTGGCGTTCGAAAAAATCTATCCGACGCGAAAGGAACAGAGACACGCGAGAGAGAATATACGTCGCGAGAATTATCGACGTCGACGCGCGCGTCGGTCGTGCGTACCTCCATACCGGTGCCACCGAGCGATGTGCGCGATCAAGGTCGCCGCGCACCGCGCCGCGCGCCGCCGAGCAGTCGATGAGCATCGACTTCTCGACCTTCCGTAATGAAGAAGAGCCTCCGAGCCTCCGTTTAACCGAGGACAACAATTTTACATACGTGGCAGCAGCAAACATTTTTACATCAAGAGAACAACGCCGCCGTGTATATTATGTCAAGTTTCGTTGGAGGAGGTGCGAAGTCGCCGAAACTCCGGACGCGAGAAACAACACGTCCTTCGCGAAAATTATCGCGCTAGAGAAAAACGAAAGACTTACGATATATTTCAGAGGAAAGATATTCGCAATCTCTCTTTCTTATACAGAATTGTGCAAGGAAAACTTGTATAAACGCGATGTGCGCGTGGGAGGCGAATCAAACTGGGCGACGTTGTTTCGAAACGTTTTTTTTTTTTTTTTATCGAAGAGATCTCTGTTGAAACTGAGCGTTTTTTTTTTTTTTTTTTTAATTGAAGGTAATCTTCCGCCGCAATCTTTCCTGTGTGTTGTTTAATAACGTCTCGCAATCGGCTTGCGTGGCAATTGCTTAATCCTCCGTTCAACGCTCGTCGTCGCAACAGCGCGATCTTAGCTGCGTTAATTACGTGTCATTCCGAGCGCGTGTGAATCGCTCCACGATGAGAGTGAGCATGACTGTGGAAATGGACGTTGAGCTAAACGAGATTTGAACTCTCGCGAGATCCGGTTTCGCACTTCTCTTTCTCTCGAAGGAGAGACGCACAATCCGATCGCGCTGTCCGATCTGTCAAATGTTCGTCCTCTCTCGAAAGACTGTTGCGCCGCAATCGGTGTGCGGTCACGTACACTCGCATACCCGCCAAAATTGCGCTCGCTCCCGCCTCGAAGCGAGAAAAACGATCCTTTTCCTTTGTTCCGACGTAGACGAATTTGCATTCTCACCTTTGTCCGTCCGCTTAACCGTTGTGAGAAATACAACGCGCGGTAAGCGGGTCACACAGTCCCTGGTGTCCGGCGCGCGCGAGCGGTTACACCTTCACACAGGAAACACCTGGTCTTCTGGCGGTTTAGAGAAAAGCGGAGAAAAAAACGAGCTGATAGGACGAGGACGGACGAGGAATCTGAGAAAAAAAGATATAGGAACGGATTCTCTTCGATTCTTCACGTCGGGAACGTCGTCAGCTCTGAGGCTTCCTCGAGCTGATCTCGTGAGCGCGGCGCCGAGTATGAACTCGCCACGACGACCGACCGTACCGTCGCATTCGTGCGCGAACGCTTGACTGACAGACGGCCTTGTCGGCCGGAGCCGATCGGTACAACACGGCGGCAGTGCGACACCACGGAGCGCGCGTGCGGGTCTTCTATGTTAGGCGCTAGGTACGCGTTCGTATGTACCTGAAGTCAGACGCTTCCGACTGGAACGCAGCGATGTATAACATCGCGCGATGAATCGGTTCCGTTAGAGGGACAGAAAGCTTTCCCCTTCCACACGCTGTTACGCCGTTTACCACAACCGGCCGACCAACGGCATTGGACAGCGGCTGAAAGGGCGCGTGGAAGGGGAATCCCTTTAACGGAGTCGATTCATTGTACCGTGTACTGTTGAAAAGAGAGAGAGAGAGAGAGACGACATTTGCGCTCGTACACGAATGTGAACACACACAAATGTGTTTTAATATATTACGTAAAAAAATATTTTTATAAACCAATCACGTGATCTGTCACTTACGTCACAAAAGAATTTTTTTTGTTGTTTTTTAGAGACTATATTTTTTATTTGATAGAACATGTGGGGCGTATAAAATTCTAGTTCGATCTTATTTGATTTTTATCAATGAATCGAAATACTCATCGAGACGGTAACAAGAAGAAATGCCACGCCGACAATTTCAATAATTTTCTCACGCGACGTGTTATCTAGATCCATTTTTGTTTTCACGAACTTTGTGAAGCGAGGTTCGAATCTCGCCGATAAAATACCGAACGCTTCGAAGCGAGAGAAACTTCTTTCTCACCGAAAGAGTTTCCGATTACAGAAATACTTATCAGTAGCATGTGGTGGTTTATCTACTGAAACTATATACTCGGTGTCGGGTACTACTTTATCCGCTGTAGACATTTCGATGTTGAACGAAAAACTGTTGTTTATATCCGTTTATTTACACTTTTAATTGTGGAGCTACTCGTGCGAATTTTTTTTTAGTTTTTTATATATTCACTTTTTTATAGTTTATAGTAATTATTTAAAAAGCGGACTTCCTCACCGATTTCAATGAGATCGAAATATGTTGTTAAGGACGTTATTCTGAACAACTTTTCCCTATACATGTTACCGCCGGTCGGCTTTCGTTTTCGAGTTATAAACAAAAGTAGGTTATTACAAATTTATTACAAATATTACGATTATCTCTGAAAGTAATCACGTTATGGGAAAAGTTGTCAAACAAGAAATGTAGGAAATTCGATTTTCTATAAAAAAGGTTATGATATTCATTTACCTAGCTCCAATCGTTTTTATGTTAGAACGTTAAGTCCATTGCATTTACGTATATATTACAATGCGTAACGTGATGCGTGATAATCCCAATAAACTCGAGTTGAAACAAACACAAGTTCAGATCAATTGTTGCACAAAATTATTTTTTTTTATGTTCGCGTTGTAAGCGTATATGCAAGGGGGGCTGCGCCCCCCTACAAAACCTAACTTAACCCTAACCTACACTCTTCTTTCTGGATTCCCTCTCGCAAAATTTCCACAATGGTTAATTTATGTTATTACATATCTATGTTACTAATATCAATAGAAATGAGTAAAACTTTTTTGATAATTTTGACATGAAGTGAATGTAATCGGAAGTCGTATTCGTTAATTAAATTCTTCGTTTTTTTCTTAACGGGGGGAGCAGGAGGGAAGGGCGAAGCCCCTCCCACTGCGAGGGGGTAGCCCCCCCTGCCTACACGTGTTACACAAAAAACATATTAACTTAAGAAATCGACACAATGTTGGAAAATTAGTATTCAATTATGAAACTTCTTTTGTTTATAACTCGAAAACTAAAGCCGACTGGCGGTAACATGTATAGGGAAAAGTTGTTCAGAATAACGTCCTTAACATCATATTTCAAGCTCATTAAAATCGGTGAGGAAGTCCGCTTTCTAAATAATTACCCAGTTTATTGTTTATTTCAAATTTTATTCTCGATTTTTGTAATTAAAATGTAATTACACTCTTGTTTTACTGAAATAATCAAGTAAAACTAATTTAACAAGATATGTACGAACACATACTTCAAAAAGACCGACGTTTTATTGCGCACTGAGCATTTAAATAAATTAACCATTATTTGTAACAATCAATATTAAATTGAGGATCTCCTCAGGCTCATGAAGTTTATTAAACTTAATAAATGAATAAATAATTAGTCTTAAGGAGCCGTTTGCATTTTTTCGCAGGATGTTGTGCGAACGGCTCCTTAAGACTAATTAAGACTAATTAAGACTAATTATTTATTCATTCATTATTTTTAACTCGTTACTTGTTGTTTTATTGGTATAAAACATATAATGTATAATGAAATAAATAAAAATGTAAGAAGACGTAGAATGTGTCCATTCTTCTAACGGAACGTGTGCAATGACGACCAGTTCGAAAATCTACCTAAATATAGAATGCGTGCGATGCTATTGTTAGGACGTTTACGTTTTCCCGAGTGTATCTGCGGTGGAGTGCTTGAAGAAAAAGCAAAAGAGCGCAAGAGAGAGGAAAGGAAACGATGAAAGAAAGAGAGAGAGAAAGAGTCTTAAAATAGAATATTGATTAATGAGCGTGTGGAAGGAACTTATTTTATAATTGAAGTAATTTATAATTCTCACGCGCGAAATTACCGCGTTTATTATTTTTAAGAAGTAAATTTATTTCCACACGTAGAAATGTGTTTTATAAATAACTGTTGTTTATTATCAAGAAGTGCGTCAATTTTCTAATAAATAAAAAAAAATAAATAAAACTGCGACGCGCACAACACGTAATAAAAAGTGCACTTTAATAATTTTCGTCTCGAAACTTTTGCGCAACTATGTGAATTCGTTTTCTCGCTAATCGAAGAAGGAAATAAGCACGGAAGAAGTTTTTATCTGCGTTTCTGCGCAGGAACCACAAAAGATATATACCGTCGACTTTGCCGCGCAGGCGGTCTTTCGAAATGATATTTTTAGAGATGCGAGTCGCTGCCCGCTAGCAACGACGACGTTAGTCAAGTGTCGTCGGTGACCCTTGAAAAACCGAAGCCACGAGTTCCACGACTTCTCGTTTGACCGGACTGGTGAGCGAATCAGGAATCGTGTTGAAATTTCCGAAGAACTCACCCCACCCGTGTGCAATTGTCATTCTCATTGAAAAAAAGGAGTGTCGAATCTCCGTATGTCTTTGCGATTATAGAAAACGACAGCAAAGTTGGTTTATTCAACAAGTTTTATTCGCGCGAATACATTCTGCGATGCCCCAAGTGTGCGTCATGTTGCGTCTATGTGTTTCCGCTGTTCTCAAAAACTGCAGAAGTCTCAGATGTTCTTAAAATTTCTTAACTTAATTAACTTTTTTATCCTCTTAAAAGGTGATCGGAACAGTCGATCTAGATATCGATCTGGTTGCCAAAAATAACACCCTGACACATGCCAAACTTTTTCCTCGAACTACTTTACGTTCGCACATTGACTTGTATTTTAATATCGACAGCGCTTATGAGATACAACAAGTGCGTCTTTGTGGAGTGTCTTTTAAACGGCACGTTAACATTTATTATTATTCAACAGAAAAACGTTTGTAGGAAAAACAATCGAAATATATACTCAACATCTCTTAAACAATGGGTGCGTCGAGTAGTAGTGACGGTCCGTCGACTTCGATTTCTACGAGCGAACGTGCGGCAGAAACGTCTTCGTATGCGGAAGATGTTCGCCTAACGAACAACGAAAGACAAAGAACGTACGTCGGAACGAGCGTCTGTAAGGAAGAGGATCGGCCACGATCGCAGGTAGTCCGCTCTAATCGCTAACTACAACCCTAATAGGAAACCATTTACAAAATTATGTGACAAAATCTTGCACTAAAATTGTAATTTGCAATTATACAGACATATTTTAGGAAATAGATGCAAAAACATTAATCTTTTCTGAAATAATTGTAGTTGTTTGAAAAATTACTGTCCAAAATACTATTTCGGCAAAAGATTAACGATATGGCGAATCATCTTAGCGGTATATTTGAAAAATATTAATTTCACAAAGAAATTGTCCAATAATTGAGAAAAGAAATTCAGATATGTGATGTTTCAAATATGTAGAAATATGATTGCATATGAAGAAATGCAAGAAATTGTCGTCACTCATGATGTCATATTTGTGCAATATTTTCACAATTTGCTTATTGGAGGTATAAGGTAAATGTCCCAATACTTAAACGTTTAAGAGAGCTGTTTAACATATAAAAATCATACTCGTATAATTTAACTTTTGTTGGTGAGTATTAGTATTTATTTAAAAAACCAGACTATATTTTCACTAAATAAAGCTTTAAAGAACTGGTTTATAAAGAAAAACAAAGTAAATTAATCGAATTCTAACATACCTGCTATGGCCCAGTGCTTAAACAGGTTTTCTAACTTGTTCCAATACTTAAACTATCTTGTCCCNGTACTTAAACGCTATTATTAACACGACAATATAAAACAGGAAAAAAATTATTCATGCATTTTATTTCATAAAAAGTTATAGATTTATTACAAATCACTAAAAACTTTGAAGATTTTACAAAACTAGATTTTACTTAGAGTTTCATAACCTTTTGATAAGGTTATGAAAACAAGTCATCTACTTTATCATATAATATTTAAATATTTTAGTTAAAATAGTATTATTTTAGTACGTTTAGATAAAATGAAACCATGAAAACACAAAACTACTTACTGATTTGTTGCATATTATGTTTTGTCGCACAAATATCACTCAATACGTATATGCAAGACTAACTACGCTATGATGAATCAAGTGTTTAACAACTTCGCCACCGGCGGATTCTCGTACCAGTACATAAACACGATAATCTAATTATTATAACTAAAAATTAAAGATAGAACAAAGTTTTTTATCAATCTACAGTCTATACTGAGTTTGAAAAATCTTTGCTAAACAAAAAGTTCATTTTGTGTATTTAATTATAACCTTAAGAAAAATATACTTTGTCTTACGCAAACCGCTAACGTAAGAGTTGAAAACGCAATAAATTTGCTACTATTCTCAAAAACTATTTTTTTCTTTATCACATCTACTGTTTAGAAGACTTTTAGTACAATGTTTTAATAATAATACAATTAAAAATATTAATAAAACTTTTGATTATTGTAAATAGTAAAATAGTTTAATATAAATGAAAATTCGAGTGAGAGTGTTTAAGTACTGGGACACGTTTAATCACTGGGACATTTACCTTATACTGTGAAAATGCATAACGACTTTTTCGCAATTTTTGACAAATATTATTACAAAATTTTATTTCGACAAAACTGTTGCGTTACGGCGAATCATCTTAGTGCAATCATTGCAAAATCGTCGCCATTTATGATGCCATTTTTGTGCAATATTTTCACAAATGTGCCTATTAGGGAAACATCAATTTTATATAGAATTCGTTTAAAACATCAGAATTCAATTTTTTTATTTAATGCCACGGACAGACATTTGTTGAGATCAATGAGGACAATGACGTCCGGTTTATCAAATACTTTTAAATATTTTTAAATAAACCAAACCTCGGTAAATCCGTCCGGCTCTCTTTTTTGTTGCATTAATATTTTTTATTTGACGTTTTATATTTTGTTGTTACGATAATTGACGAGAGAGTTGGTTTTTTTTTTTTTTTTTTATCTTGAATGTCGAGCTCAATGCTATCGATATGTATATCTCGACCGTCTTTGTACGTCTGTTCAGAAAAACACACGCGTGATCGCGGCTAAATTAAACTCGGGCATTGCCATCGCGCAATTGTATCTTCGTTTCGAGCAGAAACACGCAGTTTTGTGTGCCCGGAAGCCGCGCTTCTTCTTCTTGTCCGTCGCGACACGCTGGCTCTTCTCCAATACGTGATTTCGGGAGAACACGCTGACTCACGGTCACGAAGAACGTTTTCGCAGTCATCAAACGCGCGATCACGTGTTTGTTCCCTCAGACAATTCGCGACAACGCGTCATGCGTTTTTGCTCTGTGCGGCAGTCCGCAGTTGCGAGCCGTCGAGAGTAAACCATTTTTCCTTCGGAAAACACAGAAGAAGTCTTTTTTCTCGGGAAAGAAAGAAAACTACCAGTTTGTACAATTTTTAATCGCGCGTCCCCGGTAAAAAATTTTTCATGTATAAAATTGTGTATGGACATGTTCGGCACACACACACATATAAATTTGTATAATTAGATAAAATAATTTTAATTTGTGTATAAATATATATGATTATATATCAAAACTTTTTTAAAAATATAGTAAAAATATAGTTTTATATAATTTTTTTGTATCTAATATGATACTAATAGAGTTATTTTGTAATTTATATATATGATTATATATCAAAACTTTTTTAAAAATATAGTAAAAATATAGTTTTATATAATTTTTTTGTATCTAATATGATACTAATAGAGTTATTTTGTAATTTGATATGGAATATCTTTAAAGCCATTTTCTCAAAAAAAGAAATAAAATTGTATGGACATATTCGGCACACACACATATAAATTTGCATAATTAGATATAATAATTTTAATTTGTCTATAAGTTTATATGAAAAATTGTTTACCGGGTCTTTAAAAAATGTTTGCCAAAAGAAATTGCCGCGGATAAAAAGAAAACCGATATTTATTTTGGTTTGCTTTATTTTCTCCTCTTTGTTCAAATGATTCATCGTTCGTTTCTTGTGCGCGTGTCACGCGGCTAAATTTGCAGAAAATTGTCATTGTTCTTGCACGCAAAAATAGCGCGTGCGGTATAATTTTCAAGAATCGATAATAAATTTAATGAATACCGAGATTTTAACGATCGACCTTTTTTCGAGTTAATTTTTACGTTTTCCGAAATCTGTGTGTAACAAGATCGGACACTCGAAATTCGACTACAATTCGCTCCTCGTGTTGCAGTTGACATATCCCAAGCAAATAACAGGCTGGCAGTGCGCCGACGATCACAACTTCGCTATGTGTCAGCAGTACAACGAAATTGTGGAACTCTCGCGAATTGTTTCGCAGCTGGCTATGACCAATCATCAATTGGCCAGCACGCACAACGCAACGTTGACGCGTATGGAAACGATGTATGTGGAACTGTCCAAGCACAGAGAAAATCAGAAACGGGAAACTTGCGCGGAAATTCCGGAGACGTGCGACGACGTTCTTCGGAAGAGATTGCGGGACGCGATCGAGGACGTCGGAAGAGAAGAAACGCGACGATTGGAGCAACGTGTCGTCAGACTGGAGAGATTGCTGGCGACCAATTCCGTCGGGCGGTGCAAACAGATAGATCCGCAAGAAGACAATAGCAAGAAAACTATCGAGAAGTCGCGTTCCAAAATTGAGAGACTTGAGGATAAGACCGATGACCGCTCGAGATCGCGTTGCGAACTGTCGAAACAAGAAAGAACGACAGAAGTACCTGATGAGTGTGACGGGGATGAAGAAACGGACGTTTGCAGTTGCAACGTTCGCGATTCCGAAATCAATGTTCCTAGGATAGACGAGGACTCTTGTTCCGCGAACGTAGATTTAAATAACACGCGTAGAAGACGCGCGAGATTGAGATTAGACAACGAGCAAAAAAATTCGACAACGAGAGATTCCGCGAGCGAGGATGTACTTGAACTCTCGCGGGAAGTTGAGAGATCGAGAACCGATCGAATGGAACGCGAAAATTCGAACGAGAGACTGTTGCGCCGTCTGGCGGATCAGAAAAATCAGATGGAAAAATTAAGCGCGGATCACGAGGTACAAAGAAAAACAAAAACGTTTTTTTTACGTCATTAAATAACAGTGTAAAAAATTTTAGAGAGATTGAAAGTTCTTAAAGTTTTCAAGATTCCTTTCGACACTCGATTTAGCTATTTTTTTTTAAATAAAAATAAACTAATAATTAGTGATAAATAGAGATAACTCTCGGGCTCTATAAGTCTTTTAAACTAATAATATATGAATATAAGGACATGAAGAGCCGTTCGCAGGATGTTGTGCGTGAATGTGCTTAAATATTAGGTCTACCGGAAAGTTCTGTCTGTTTTTGGAATAAAACAAAATACAAATTTTTCCAAATTTTTCAAAAATGGGATATACAAATTGCCCTCACGCTGGCAAGAAATCATTAATAATAATGGCAATTATAGTATTTAATAAAGTTTATTGACGGTAAGAAAAATTTGTATTTTGTTTTATTCCAAAAATGGACAGAACTTTCCGGTAGACCTAATATACAGGGTGTCCCAGAATTGCCGTACAATCGCTCGTAGGCAGGTAGTAGAAGTAAAACTGAGTCGAAAAGTCCTGAACCATTTTTTTTTATTATTTATAATAAAGGAGTAATTATTGAGTAAATCAGGCCAATCAGCGCAGACCTTTAGCCAGGCACACGTCAGTGAGCCGCGCGCCTGGTGTGTGTGAGCGCTCACTGANATATACAGGGTGTCCCAGAATTGGTGTAACATTTCTCGTAGACAGGTAGAAGAAGTAAAACTGAATAAAAAAGTCTTATACCATTTTGCTAGATTTGTAATAGTTACCGAGATCTTAATTAACAAAGATCCGCGAATGAGCGTGCATTGGGCTGTCTTACGCGCGTAGGACAGCCCGGCGCGCTTCGCACAATTACATTTTAATATGTATATGTTATAGTATATGCTGTTATATTAGCTCCTCCCATATGTTGCTACGGGTAACACCGTAAGCGCGCGAAGCGCACTGGGCTGTCTTAAGCGCGTAAGACAGCCCGATGCATGCTTATTCGCTGATCTTTGTTAATTAAGATCTCGGTAACTATTGCGAATCTAGCAAAATGGTATAAAACTTTTTGACTCAGTTTTACTTCTTCTATTTGTTCACGAGAGCTGTTACACCAATTCTGGGACACCTTGTATATGTATACACATATCCAGCATCCTATATGGAAGAAAAAAATTATTTTGAAGTATATATGTGTATACATATATATATATATATATATATATATACATATATATATATATTTAAGCGCATTTATGCACAACATCCTGCGAACGGCTCTTCATGTCCTTATATTCATATATTATTAGTTTAAAAAATAAACTATTTATTTAGGAGCTAAAGACGCGATACGCGGTATTGGAGACCAATCTGGACGAACGTAAGCAGCAACACGACGAACTGACGAAGAACTTGGACTCGGCCAAGAAGGAAAACGAGAGATTGCTGAAGGAAATCGATGATTTTCAATCGGAAAGGAGCGTTGCCGATGCAAGAACTTCGATTCTGGAACAGGATCTGCGAAAATCGTTGCTCGAGAACGAGCGGATGAAGGACGCGGAAGATCAAAAAACGTCGCAGTTGCGGGCGCAATTGTCCGAAGAGATTTCGAACAAGGAGAAGCAAAGCAGGGCTCTCGAGGACGCCCTGCGGGAGATTCAAAGACTGAGGGAAATTATGAAGACTGAACGTAGGAGTGAGAACAACGTCGCTTCGAATGATAACGTTGGTACGTCATTTGCGCGATGTAACTTGGAAAATAAAATAAAAAAAGATACGTAAAAAAATACGCGTGAAAAAATTTCAGATGTAGTTAATTCGACGAACGACGGGCCGGAAAGCGCGGCTGCCAACATGGAGAAGTTCAAAAAGGAATTAACCCTGAAGAGAGAGGCCAGACACCGAGCTATCGCGGCGGTCTCGTCCGAGATGGAGAGACTAAGAAAAGAACTCGACGCCGAAAAGGAAGCTCATTCCGAAACGTCGAGCATGCTGGCGTTTTTGCAATCTGCTCACAGCAGCGGTTCGCAAAATCTCGCGAATTGCGCAAAGTCAACAAACAGAGAAGAACGCGAGCGCCTGGACGAAAGCGGGAGAGAGTTGAGACGTGCGGAAGCGCAACGATTAACGAGCATTCTGAAGGTATTTATTCGCACACGTTATTTGTTATTTCTAGAATGGAAAATCGCGGTTTGCCGAAATTAAAGTTCGTAAACGAGAGACAATGTGGCCCTCAGGTGTCGGACGAATTGCGAAACAACATACGATACCAAATCGAGAAAGTGGACGACCTTCGCTACCAACTGGAGACCGACTCGGAACGTCATCGCAATCGTATACAATGTTTGGCGGAAGTGGCCAGCAGGACGCGCGAGTCCCTGTTCGCGCGTGAACGTCGCACGAACGAGCTGAAGGATCATCTGGCGCAGATGTCGGCCCGATTGGGCGACAGGAGTCCTCTTCTCGAGGATCGCGACGAAGCGGATACCGAATGCGATCGACAGCTCGAGAGCATCAACGCGCTGAAGAGCCTCTACAACGAGAGGTTGAGGATTCTGGCCGAGTTGAAGGATTCCACGGTCAAGGAGCTAACAGACGCGAAACAGAAACTGGAGTACGCGGTGAAAAAATCTGAGAACTTGGAAGAGGAGCTGAAGAAAGCCGAGGAAAAGGTACATCGCGAGACATTCTGTCGTTTGATTCCGTTGATCGTTGGAGAGTTCGCGAGTTCTTATGACGTTGTTCTGGATTCAGGTCGACGCTCAGGATACGGAGATCACGAACTTGGAGTCTCAACTGGGATTGACAAAGGCGGATTGCAGGGATCTTCAAAATCAGATGTCTCTCATCAACGGATTGTTCACGCAGATGCTGCTCGGAGCTTCTTCCGCGGACATGGACCTCGATCGATTGACCAGGTTGCTGCAGGTATTGCAAAGCTAGTTAATTTTTTACAGTTTTTGATACACTTGATACGGTGAAATATCATCGAGAGACCCAGGGTTTGTAATCGAAATAAACAAGAGCGTTTGATTTTGCTGGCGCAGGAGAATCACGACCTGATCAGCGACATAGCCAGAGAAGAAAGTACCGAAGCAGCGGCACTTCCCAAACTTCTTTTGGATCTGATCGAGCAGGTCGAGGGCGGCAAAGCGAAGTCTCAAAACCAAACCCCGGACGAGGAGAACAGCGTTGAAAACGGCGAAGTCGACAGGAAAGAAGACGATTTGCACGAGGAAAATATAGCTCACAATTTGCCCAAGGTTACATTATAAAATTAATACAAACTCATATATTATGTTTATTTTACAAAATTTTCATCTCTGTGGAAGTTGCAAAAATAATCACAACGCGTACTACAATTGCGAAATTGCGTCGTAGGTGTGGCGCGTTTTGTTCGAGTTGCTCAGTTGCCACGCGGTCACTTCCCCGAGCGTCTCCGTCGCGTCCTGTTCGGACCCGAACAGTTGTTACAAATCGGTGGACACTCCGGCCGGTCCGCGACTCGTGATATCCGTGAGCAAAACGTACATTCGTCTGAAAGAATTGATATTGGAGAAAAAGCACTTGGAGAAGGAAATGAATCGCATGAAGCAACTGAACACACATTTGGAGAGCAAACTGAGCGAACAGGTGAGCGATCGTTTCTTCTCTCGCATTTTTTCAAACAAGAAAAAAAATCTGATTTCTATAATTTATCTACACAAAAAATTCAGGAGAAGAGACTTTCCATGGTGTCGACCGAGCTAGCAAAAACGTGGAACATCGTCGGCCGGATGCAGGCGCAGCATCAGCAGCTGCACACTCACGAGGAAATACTGAGATACGAGCTGCAACAGAAGAGAAAGATGTTGCAAGAATTGAAACAGGAACTTGAATACTGCAGAGAAAAGTGGGAGTCGGCCAGACAGAAGAACACGAACACCGAGCTGGAATGGAGGAGTTTGCGACGCGAGTTCGCTGCGAGGAAAGCTCTGGCTGCTCGCGACTTCTTCAACAGGTTGAAAATTTAACGTCCGACGTCTCTTATTAGTTTTTTAATTTTATTTCTTCTCGTTATTTTCTGTAAAACTTGTTGGTAATTATTTAGAAAGCGGATTTTCTCACCGATTTTATTGAGCTTGAAATATATTGTTAAAAACGTTATTCTGAACAACTTTTCCCTATACATGTTACCGCCGGTCGGCTTTAGTTTTCGAGTTATAAACAAAAAAAGTTTCATAACTGAATACTAATTTTCCAACATTGTGTCGATTTCTTAAATTAATATATTTTTTGTATGACACGCATAAACAAGAGGGGGCTACGCCCCCCGCAAGGGGAGGGGCTTTGCCCCTCCCCCCTGCTCTTCCCGTCAAGAAACAATGAAGAATTTAATTAACGAATACGACTTCCGATTACATTCGCTTCATATCAATATTACCAAAAAAAGTTTCATTAATAAAGCATCGTTGTCCAAACCTGTATGTTTTAGACATAATTTATTATTGTGGAATATCGGATTCAGAAAAAATATTTCACTATAAACACAAGGTAATATACACGAAAAACACGAAGGGGGGAGCAGGAGGAAAGGGCGAAGCCCCTCCCCCTGCGGGGGAACTTAGCCCCCCTGCCTAAACACTTATAACACAAAAAAATGTACATAGAATCGAAAAATAAGAGTTTATTTATAACACTTTTTTTGTTATTAACTTTTTAATAAACAACGAGCGACGGCTAAAATCTTGTGATTGTTACTCAGGAAGGTGTTCTTGACAAAATATGTCGAGCTCATTTGGGTGACCTTTTGTACATATTTACCAAAACAAGTATTCAATTATGAAACTTCTTTTGTTCATAACTCAAAAACTAAAGCCGACCTGCGGCAACATGTATAAAGAAAAGTTGTCCAGAATAACGTCCTTAACAACATATTTCAATCTCATTGAAATCGGTAAAGAAGTCCGCTTTCTAAATAATTACCCCAAATTGTTTTTTTTTTTAAATTCTTAATTTATTTTTAGTGCCGAGAGCGGCTTCAGCGACGAGAGAGGCGACGACACCGACGAGGAAGAGGATGCGATCGAAGAAAGAATCAGACACGGTCCACGTAGAAGAGCGCGGAAGGTGCGGGGAAATTACCCAATGATTCAAATTCGCAATATTTATATTTTGTTTATAAAAATTTTTTCAAACTTGCTCGATACAGGAAAATCCTAGAGCACCGACACCGGACACGGAGTCCGAGCAGCCGACGGATACCGAACTGTCGGAGTCGAAGACTGGCTCGTTGGAGCAACGCACGCCAACGCCGGAAATCGAAGCGGAGCTGGATTTGGAATCTGTCAACGTAGAAACAGAATCCGCGGTAAGTAATCGAATCGTGTCTGTTTGTATTTTTCGAAACACGTGATCCCCATCGATCGCTGACTATTACACAAGTTGTTGAACAGCGCGTTGCAGAGAGCACGCAGGAAACTTTGGATCCTCTGGACCGGGCTCTCACCAACGTTATACAGAATCTCATAAGAGTCGATGACAGTGACGAATCGGGCAGAGTTACTCAGACCATCTCGCGGGAAAACACAGCGATACCCTTTGAAGACCCGCGTGACGATTCGATTCTCGAAACCGGCGGCTGCGCAACCGAGAGCAGTCGTGCGACAACTTCAAAAACAGACGACTGCGACAGAAATACGCGATTGTGGACACCGAGCGCGGAATCTTGGAGCTCGTTGCCCGCAAAAACACTGAAACGAACAGCAACAAGCATCGATTTGCCTTCGGCGGTGGACGATGACGGCGATGATGTGAACGAGTCGATCGGAGTCACAAATTCCAAGAAGTCCGATGATGTTTCGTCGGCCATCTCTCCCGCATCGTCGACCGCCACGAGTGCAACCAGTACGACACCTGTATTTGTCATCGGGCCTCTTCCTACGTCAACCGTGCCATCCTCGTCCATAAAGAGCGTGCAGTTCAGCGATCCTTTGATCGTAGGTCCATCCAATCGTCTGGTCACTCCTGTGTTCGGCGTGGCCGTGGAATTGGAAAATTCTGCTTCGACTATTCAATCCTCATCGATGACGAGACAGGAAGACGAATCGACAGAAGAACAACACAAGAAACAGCGATTCCCTAAACCAATGGAAAGTGTCGCGGATTTTGACAGCGTGTCCGTCGACTCCTCATCGAGTTTGGACACGGTCAGAGACTTCTCCACGGCCGAGACGAGTATCTCGTCAAGAGAAGAAAAACCGCAGGGAAGTGGCGCGACAACTACGCGGAAAGAAGACACGGAAACCGCTCCAAGTAAATCCCGAACTCCGGAGGAGGTTTTGGCGACGCGAGCTGACCGATTGAAACGCTTGGAGGAACAGGCCGACTGGCTCATGAAGAAGATGAACGCCACGAGCAAACGAGGCAACGCCCTCTGCACCAGATTGGAAGAGCTCCACGAGACTTACGGCGAGCCGCCGGTTCCGCCGCCCATGCCGGACGTTTTACCCAGCCGTAGGCTGCCTTGTAGTCTGCTAGATCTACCTCGTCAGGTAAAAGAACGTGACTTGTAATAATAATAATAATAATAATAAATACAATTAAAATATACAGGCGTGTATTATCTTATAAATATTTTTACAATTTATAGTAATTGTTTTCTTATTTTTACTTATGCGAGTTTGTTTGTAGGTACCTGAATCGCCAGTAGCTGGCGCCATCCAGAATTCTGAAGACGAAAGTTCAAACGCAGCTGACGCGGCGTCACGTGCAAATGCTCTGTGATGTGTTTGATTTTTTTTTTTTTCCAATTATGAAACAGTCGTTTAATCGACATTTGTTTTCAGCGAAGTTTGCAAACGCTGTATCGCGATCTTTTTCGCAACGTGGCGAACGTCATATCCTGGAAAGAGAGGCGCATCATGTAATTAATTACTTCAGCTACTGATATTCTATATGTCGATGTCGCATTATTCAATTTTGACACATCTCTGTCTTCTTGACTTTAATAAAGACATGATATTACGATTAAGTGCGGAGAAAAAATCTTTTGTGCTTTATAATATCTCAAACATTCAACTCCCTTAAGAACGTTCTCCGACTACAGTGGTTAGCAACCTAAAATATCTCTTCTCCCGAGTAAGTTTGTACTGCTGTAACAAGATTAAGTTGAGCTATTCAGCACTGCTAAGACCCGCTTACTCTGCGCAGAAGTTCAAAAATAGCTGCAGTACACAGCGCACATAAATCCAGCAAAACAAAAAAAAAACCCCACCAAAAAAACAAAAAAAAAGCAACAGTTTGAAAACAAGGGTTGCTCGCTGTATTGTTCAAAATCGTATTTTAATTAAGACACTCTCCGCTACCACATACTTGTTTTTTAAAAAAATCCTACAAAAATTGTCGTCAGTAACTTTAAAAAACCCCACTTCACAAAGGCTCAGCATAGGAAATCCATGTTAAAAATTGAAACTTAAATCTTCCATATTTTGGAATTTAACATTGTTACCCCTATTATCCAAAAATACGTATAAATAAGATCATAAATTATGTATATCGCAAATTTAAAGAAAATCCTAGGAAAATCAATAATTCGGAGCACGTCCTTAAGAGGGTACTGGATATCGACTATAGAGACCTGTCAACCGACTTTTTCCTATGACGTTTGGTGTCGTATTTACTTCATTAAATCTAAAATGCTTTTACAAAAATAAGTAAATTGTGCTAAGGATTGGCGCTTGTTCTTTGGAATGTCAAAATTCAGCATAAATTTTTTCTTATACAGTTTCCTTCTATAACCTCACTATATACTCATGTATGTAAAATTATTTCTAAGTTTATGTACACATTTACAATGAACAAGCGCCACAGATACGACAAAAACGAATCTAATGAGACATTCAGATTATGGTATGACTATCTAATTGATGAGAACAACGTCTTAGTGTGATGACAGTATAGGTTATCATATGCTATCATTTTGAATGAAAAAAAGAGTTTCAAAAAGCATGATATATCTATTATCAAAAGCACTAAATAGTTGTTTATATGTATTTGCTTCTATAAAAACACTTTTTATGTAATGCAGTAAAAAAAAACTTAAAATTTTAAAGAAATTTAGATTTTTAAAATGTCGGTTTACAGGTCTCTATCCAGTTTACAGGCTGAGCTCCAGTACCCTCTTACTGTATTTTCGAAATTGACGCGATACGCTCTTTTTTTATATAAAAAAATTAACAGACAGAAGTCAAACGAGGATAAATGTGTAACTCACGCGCGCGCGTGTATATACGCTCGAGTGTACACGTTGGAATGAAGTACTGTGAATTTTTGGCGAGAGACGACAGCGCTTGCGTGCGTTTTTGAACTTAGGTGGTGGTAATTCTGTGTGAAAAGAGAGCATCTGTTAAATTTCTCACTTTGTTCGATATTGATTATTTAACCCGCGTTTCAACGCAGGTGTTAAATTGGATCTATTTTCTCAACGTTTTTTTATCTATTATTTTTCGTTTCTCAACGCAGTTCGAATTAACGAAATTTAAGTTAACAATTGCTATTTGCTCTGCCATTTGCCGTAAACACATAAAGGAAATATTTTTTATTCTTTGATGAAAAAGTGAAAAAAAGATTCACATGGTGGTGTATATGTTTTTTTGCTACCGAAGAGAGATGGGTAATCTTTTGGATCAACATTTTAGTCTAAATCGAATTCTTCTGTCGTTACTCGGTTTGTGGCCCTATCACGAATCGATATTTGTACGGCTTCAGTATTTCTGCTTCTCCATTATCCTGACAAGTTTTGGCATCTTTCAGGTTTGTTGCATTATATTGTACATTTTTCTCGCATTGGTTTTTTCTATACACGCAAGGTAGACGTTAAACAAAATAATCATTTACAGCTCACAACATTTTGTACCACAAAATGCAGCGCGGACGTTATTATCAAAGTTTTCTCTTGTGTGTCTTTTTACGTCGCGTTTGCAGTAAAATATAATGCATTTTACTTAAATGCTAAAACAGTACGTGTTGAACACATTTATAGTTATATATACACACTAACTTTACTAAGTATATTTAATTCTTTCAATTTATATAAAAAACATTAATAAAAAATAAAATAATAAAGTTAAAAAATATTAATTTATATATAAGATATTAAATTTTATACATATTTTTTTTCTCACGTATTTTATTATTTAAGTAGTATTAACACTTGTTAAAACGACAGATAAAATATTTACTGGGACGACTTCAACGTATCCGTGACGATTTAAAAGACAACAATGAAATCGCAATTATCGAAAGATACGGGAACATTGCGAAGCGTTACACAATTGGACTTATAAGTAATATATTGTATTTTTTTGAGAAGAAATATATACATTTTTACATATAAGAAAAAACAAATCTTATAAAAAAATGCATATATATGTTTAAATTAAGTTTATTATATTTTAAACATACAAAATATAAATTCTTAACATATAATTTGACCATATGTAACAATATTCAGTACTATTTGGTTCCGGCGGAGTTATTATTTATATGGGTTATGTATTGCCGAGCTTTCTTTCGAACGCTACCTCTTCTATCAATAAATCCGAATCTATGCTAATGATGACAGAGTACTTTGTCGATCAAGAAAAATATTCTTATTTGGTGACAATACACATGATCATGTCTCTCCAGATAGGATTAATTACTCTGTTAGCAACAGGAACAATGTTAATAGCTTATCTACAATACATCTGCGGAATGTTCAGCATTGCTAGGTAAAAGAAGAAATAAAAAATATAGACAAACTGAATGAAATAAAAAAAAAACCGATTAAGAATGTGGCTTTTACATTGTTTCTTAAATGCAAACAAATCTCCAACCTGTCAGTTTTAAAATATATTAACATAGACTTCTAGAGCTTTTTTCCTAATGTTATAAATGTGTACTTTTTGCCGGTAACTGCATAATACAAAAAAATCCCTAAACAATTACACGGATTTAGATGAATTAATTAAAATTCTTTTAAATTAATCGCAGCTATCGCGTCGAGCATGCAATAAAGAGTTGCTCTCTTCGAGATAGATTGCACAGTAAAATTGTGGTTTGCAAGAGTATTGGTTGCGCCGTAGACATTCATCGCAAAGCTATGACGTTGGTATCATCCGTATCGCATATATTCCACATATTAGCACATTGTCACCGTTTGCTTTTGCAGGTATTCCTGGCACTTAATATCTAGTTTCGACATGATGTTTATGTGTCTGATAGCATGTAGTGTGCTCATTTTGAGCACGAATATCTTTCGTGTAAGTTTTTGTTTGTATTTATGCATTCTAAAATTAAAAATAACAAGAAGGTCTGTTACGAGCTTAATAAAGGAAACGTCGATTGAGTCGACACGTTTGCGTTACTTATATTATAATATACGTTTTTACCTCTATGTTAATTTGAGATTAGAATTTAATAACTACAAAGTTCCTGTATCAAGCTCGTAACAAACCTTCTTGTTATTTTTAATTTTATTATTGTTATTATAACGAGCGTAATTTACCATACATTTTTATACATTCTGTTTTTTATATGGTTTAAACATATTAAAAAATTCAAAATACTTTATTTTCTGCATTGTACAATGTAGATGTTTGCAATTTAGAAAAATCAATGTCATTACTAAAAGTCATTATTTAGATTTTTCAGGAAATAACGTCCAACGGTAATATTGAAGACTGTTTGATATTTGTTGTTATTTCAATAGTCTGTTTGGTATACATGTTCTTCGCAAACTTGATGGGGCAAGATATTATTGATCATTACGAGTACATTTTTATCACTGGGTAAAAACTATATATATTTTTTAAGACACTTATAAACACTGTGTAAAAATAATACAAGTTATAAGAAATTTTATAAAAATAAAAAACAGAGACTAAAACAAAGACTGATACAGAGATATCAAAGGAAGAATTAAAAAAAAAATTTTAATTATTGTTTACCAACTTGATATGCAATATATTAGGTTATTATAATATCAAGTGTATTGTTTTTTTAAATTCTAATTAAAAATATTATTACATGCAGGTATAATGTTCGGTGGTACGTAACGCCTGTATGCGTGCAAAAGCTGCTGTTGTTTTTGTTGCAACGAAGCCAAAGGGCTTTCGGCTTGAAATCGATGGGTGGATTTTTCACAGCATCCTTACCCTGCTTTGCAACGGTATAAAACAAATTGTTTTTCACACGTCGCGGCAGATACGTATTGCGTTTCAAAGATAATAAATTGAAAAATTCTGATTTTATTACAGCTGATAAACGCGTCCATGTCATACTTGACCGTCATATACTCTATGCGGCCATAACTGGAGAAAGTTATTATTATATACTAGTGTAGACTTAATAAATGTACATAGAACACATTCATCTGAGAGTTCAATTGTAATATTTCTATTGATTCTCTTTTTTGAAATAAGCGTGCATCTCGTATGCATCTTATAGCGCGATATATATATATGTATAGGGAGGATCCCGATAGCCAAGATTTCTTTAGTACAGATTGACGGTTGCACAGATCCCGTTTGCCTAGATCCCGTTTGCACAGAAAACTTTTGTACAGATCCCGATTGCATAGACATTATATAGGTTAGTTTAGGTTAGATTTGTGGGGGAAGGCGGTGCAGGAGGAGGAGCGGAGCCCCTCCCCCGCCCACATATGTACTATAGTGTGTGATATAAACGAAATATTTACTTCGCAAATATAATAATAACGACTATGTGTAATCGAAATCTGTAGAAAAATTTTCAGTGCAAACGGAATCTGTGCAACCGTTGATCTGCGCAAAAGAAATCTGTGCTATCGGTGCCTTGTTTTTCACGTGTGCGTAAAGCGAAATGAATCGTGCGAATTTCCATCTTCGCAAAATAGCAAACAGCGCGTGCGCCAATTCCACCTCGCAACTTTTCTTGTGGATTTTATGAGAAAAAGACACATGTTCAAATTATTTCGTTGTTGTATCGATCGTTTAAAAGGCGGATGCGTCC